GGTAAGGTCATTAAGTCTGAGTGAGCTATCTGAACTCTTTGATAGAGGCTGTGGGATTGGTGGAATAAGATCCTAAATGCTTTTCAATAGTGGATAGATTGGAGAGAGAGGAGGGGACATGGACCCACACAAGTCCCTCTGCTCCCAATACCTCACGGGGAGGGCAGAGGAGGTCGGCTCCTTCCCGTGGGTCATGATGTGACCGCATGTGGGCGCTGACAGGGGAGGGGAGAGTGGGAGTCGAGATGGAGGGCGGAGGAGGGTTAGAGGCAGATGGGTCAGGATAAGGTGGAGGAGAATTAAGATGGGGTTCAGGCCAGATGGGAGGCGGGGACAGTTCCTCTGGGGGGTCAGGAGAGGAGGAGAGGTCAGGAGCGGAGGGTCTGGAGGGGGGTTTTTAGCTAGGAGGACCTGTGCCATGGAACAGGAGGCACAGAGGTTAGGACGGGATTGCAAATACCAAAAAGCCTGAATATATAGGATTTCCGACCATTTCCCATTTCTTTGGCAAAAGTTTCCCAAGTCGGTGAGTATGGTAAAATCAAAAGTCCCTTCAGGAGGCCATCTGGACTGGTTGCCCAGTTGGTATTGTGGCCAGGCCACAGTGGAAAAGAACAGTTTCTTCATCTTTAGGGAGGGATCTATTTTTTTTTTTTTTTTATGAATTTTTATTTATTTTTTTGTTACAGATATTTTACCTTTTTACCCCATTGGCACCCCCCACCCCACCCCCCCTCCACCCTGTCCCCAGCTTAGTTGTCCATGTCCATTGGTCATGCATACATGCATAGGGAGGGATCTATTTTTGACAGATTTAAAATGAGACACCCTAGAGGTGTTTTTGGATCCAGTCAAGACTCCTGATTGCCCATGGTTGGAGTGAATTGGCAACCCGCAACTCAATCTCTGGTCACCAGACGGGCGGATGGAGTGGGGCGCGGCCGGGATGTCTCCGCAGAACCCCACGCACCCAGAACGGATAGGAGGTCCCTGACGCAGCTGTGATTACGGACAGGGAGCCCCGGAGGCGGAGGGAACTGAGGAGCGGCCAGAGGCAGGGGACTCACCACACTGTGCGCCAGCTGGGTGGAAGGTCGGTGGTCCCTGGTCTTCCTCGGGAGGGAGGGAGAGGAGCGGCCCGGGCAGGCTGAAGCTCCTAGATCCCAGGTTTCGACACCAGATGTAAGGTATCTCACCGAGGAAGAAAGAGAAATGGAGCCGCAAAGGCGGGCAAAAGTTTTATTGAAGCTGACCGGGCGAGGTCCACTGGTGGAGAGGCCAGGGAAGTCGCGCTGTCATGGCCACCCAGAAAAGTTTTATAGGGGGTGGGGTTGAGGAACAATGAGGGGAGGTATTTGGTGGTGTTGATTTCTCTTCAGGCCATCCATTTCTTGGTCACGTGACTCTCCGTTTGCGTGGCTCCCCAGTCATATGACTCCCCGGAGCCCGCTGGCCTTACAGTTAGAGCATGGGCCCGCGGCCTGAGGACCAGAGTTCGGTTCCTGCTAAGGGCACGTACCTCGGTTGCAGTTTGTCCCTGACCCCCGTTGGGGTCATGTGGGTGGCAACCAGTTGATGTCTCTCTCTCACATTAATGTTTCTCTTTCTCTTCCTTCCTCTCTGCCTCCAGATTCTGAACCAATGAAAAAAAGACACAAGCCCTGGCTGGTTTGGCTCAGCGGTAGAGCGTTAGCCTGCGGCCCAGAGAAAAAAAGACACAAGAAGCCAGACTTGGTTGCAATACTATATCAGTTGTATTTCAGGTACACCTGGTGGCTTAGCAACTACGGCTTGACCCATGACTGAACTCAAGCTTCCTATTCTCCCTGGCAAATTTGCCAGGCACAAGTTGAAAAGCAGAGGGCTGGCCCTGGCTGGTTTGCACTCTATTTGTCTCTCTCATGTCAATGTTTCTCTCTCTCTCTCTTCCTCTCTCCCTCTCGCTCTATCTGAAGATGAATGCAAAAATGTCCTCCGGTGAGGATAAAAAAAGAAAAGAAAAGCAGGGGGCTGAGGGCTCCCTTTGTGAAAGGGGGGAGCTCTCTGTTGGGCTTACTGAGGAAGAGGAGGAAGTGGGGAGGAGGCCTTCTCTGCTTGCCGGCAGATAAGAGAACCTGAGCCATCATCTCACTATTCCTCTTGGCCACTCTCCTGTCATGAAGAGCCAGTGAGGGAAAACTGCCCTCCAAGTTCTTGTCCAAGAGTCCTGAAGGGCTGGACCAAGTTCCTGAGCACATCTTGGAGAGGCCAGGAGTTTCTACTCTACAGCCAAGGTAGAGAGCACTGGACAAGAAGGAAATCTCCCTCCACTGCAAATTGGATTTCATGCACATGCTTTTCTTCTGGGATGATTGGTCCCCTGGTTGAAGGATTTTGGACCTCCATGAGGAGCAGTTCCTAAGCGGGGAGTATTTGGATGAACCATATATGAAGACTTAAGTGTGGAATGGAAAAGAAATGAAGCCATTTTTAATGTACTTAAGGCGAAATATGTACATTGTAGCCTCTGCATTAAAGGCTGCCTGTAAAGTTAACACAGAGGAATACAAGGATTTGGAAAAGCCTGGAAGTCCTGAGTCTCACTGGAATGCTATCTGGATGTTTCAGCTAAAATGTAATTAAATGGGTAATCATTGTATGTCTTCTTCGTAGAAGGGTCTGTTTAGGTCCTTTGCCCATTTTAAAATTGCATTGTTTGTCTGCCTTTTGTGAAGTTGTATGAGTTCTTTAAGAATTTTGGAAATTAACCCCTTATCAGAGGTGTCATCAGCAAATATGTTCTCCCATACAATGGGATCGTTTTTCATTTTATTGATGGTTTGTTGTTGTTGTTTTTTCTGTGCAGAAGCTTTTATTTTGATGTAGTCACATTTATTTATTTTTTTCCTTTGTTTCTTGGCCTAGGTGATGTGTCAGTGAAAATCCTGCTATGTGAGATGGCTGAGATTTTATCGCCTATGTTTTCTTCTAGGATTCTTATGGTTTTGTGACTTTTTCTTTTTTTTCCCTCACCCGAGGACATTTTTCCATTTTTTGTTCAGGTAGAGTGGGGGGGGAGAGAGAGGAACAGAGAGAGAGAGAGAAACATCGATGTGAAAGGAACACATCGAGTGGCCGCCAACCGCACAACCGACCAGGGCCGGGGACAAACTGCAACCGAGGCATGTGCCCTTAGCGGGAACCGAACCTGGGTCTCTCGGGACCGCAGGCCGATGCTCTAACCGCTGAGCCAAACCGGCCAGGGCGGTTTTGTGACTTTTACCCATTTTGAGTTTATTCTTGTGTATGATGTAAGTTGGTGGGTTAGTTTCATTTTTTTGCATGTATACAGATGGCCAAGAAACATTTGAAAAAATGCTCAAAATCATTAATCATCAGAAAGATGCAAATTAAAATGACAATGAAGTAGCACCTTACACCTGCCAGAATGGCTGCCATCAATACAACAAAGGACTAGTGCTGGCAAAGATGTGGAGAAAAGGAGACCCTGGTGCACTACTGGTGGGAATGCAAACTTGTATAGCCATTATGGAAAACAATATGGTGTTTCCTCAAAAAATAAAAACTAGAACTGCCATTTGACCCAGTGATCCCACTTCTAGGAAAGTATTCTAAGAATCCTGAAACACCATTCAGAAAGAATATATGCACCCCTGTGTTCATAGAAGCACTATTTCCAATAACTAAGATCTGGAAACAGCCCAAATGTCCATCAGTAGATGAGTGGATAAAAAAGCTGTGGTTGAAACAAGCCAAACAGAGAAAGACAAGTATCATATGATCTCACTTATTTGTGGAATATAATGACCATAACAGTCTGAGGAATGGGGTAGTCCCAGAGACATGGAAGTGGGGTACAGACTGACAATCCCCAGAAGAGGGGGTGGGGGGGAGAGATAAACCACAGAACTTATATGCATGAACAATGGACATGAACAACAAAGCTGGGGACAGGGTGGGGAAGGAGGGGGAGGGGGGATCAGTGGGGGGGGGGGGAGAAATATCTGTAACAAAAATAAATTAATTAATTTAAAAAAAGTTGTGGTACATATACACAATGGAATATTACGCAGCTGTAAGAAAGAAGGATCTCTTATACTTTGGAACAACATGAATGGACCTGGAGAGTATTATGCTAAGCAAAATAAGGCAGTCAGAGAAAGACAAGTATCACATGATCTCACCTATATGTGGAATCTAATGAACAAAATAAACTGATGAATAAAATAGATCCAGAGACATGGAAGCATGGAGCAGACTGATGAATCTCAGAGGGAAGGAGTACAGTGGGGGATGGAGGAAGAGATTAACCAAAAAACTTATATGCATATGTGCATAACGCATGGACACGGAGGCTTAGCAGGGGTGGGAGTGGTGTGCAGGGGTCAATTGGGGAAAAAGAGAGGACATTTGTAATACTGTCAACAACAAAGATACATTTTTAAAAAACAGATAATCATTTTGATGAAAGCCAGGCATGTAAAATGAATATCAAATAGACAGAATTAGCCCTGGTTGGTTTGGGTCAGTAGTTAGAGCGTCGAACTGCTAACTAAAAGGTCATGGGCTTGATTCCTGGTCAAGGTCACATACTTGGGTTTCAGGTTTCATCCACAGCCCTGCTCAGGATTGTGCGAGAGGCAAACAATCGATGTATCTCACATCAATGTTTCTCTCTCTCTCCCCACTTCTCTCCCTTCCCTTCCACTCTATTTAAAAAAAAAAAAAAATCAATGGAAATTAATCTTCAGGTGAAGATTAACAACAAAAACAAAAATAAATTTGTGAACTTGAAATAGCATGAAAAAGTGCAAACATATTTTTATCTTGAAAAATTCTCTCTCCTTTTTTTCCCCTCCATTTTTATTTCAGGAAGAGGGGAGTTGTTTATGAGGAAACAGCACTTATAACAGGGTATATCTGTCAGGGTGTTTCTGGAAGAGATTGATATTTGAGTCAGTAGACCGAGTACAGCAGATTGCATTCCCTGACGTGGGTGGACCTCCTCCAATCTACTGAAGACCCGAGGAAGACAAAAATCTGACCTTTTTGTGAGTAAGAGGGAATTCCTTCTGCCTGACATCCTTGAGCTGAGAAATTGTTTTTTCCTGCCTTTAGACTCTATCTGAAACATAAGCTCTTCCTGGGTCTCAAGCCTCCTGACCTTCAGACTAAAACTTATACCCTCAGCTTTCCTGTTCTCAGGCCTTCAGATGTGAACTGGAATATACCATCAGCTCTGCTGTGTTTCCAGCTTGTTAACTAAAAATCTTGGGACTTGTCAGCCTCCACAATCATGTGAGTCAATTCTTTATAATAAATCTCTTATCTATCTATCATCTATCTATCTATCTATCTATCTATCTATCTATCTATCTATCATCTATCTATCTTCATCTATCATCTATCTATCTATCTATCATCTATCTATCTATCTATCTATCCATCTATCTATCTATCTATCTATCATCTATCTATCTATCTATCTATCTATCTATCAATCATCTATCTATCCATCCATCTTTCTATCCTATCGCTGTATATATCCTATTACTTCTGTTTCTCTCGAGAACCCTGACTAATGCAGGTTTACACCACTATTTGTGCCTATTAAAACCTTATTGGTGGCAAGTGACAGAAAAGTGTAGCTGAATTGCCTTTGATAAATTGAAATTCTGAATATATGTACCCCTATGTTCATAGCAGCACTATTTACAATAGCTAAGATCTGGAAACAGCCCAAGTGTCCATCAGTAGATGAATGGATAAAAAAGCTGTGGTACATGTACACAATGGAATACTATGCAGCTGTAAGAAAGAAAGATCTCTTATCCTTTGAGATGACATGGAGGGACCTGGATAGTATTATGCTAAGCAAAACAAGCCAAGCAGAGAAAGATAAATATGATATGATCTCACTTATTTATGGAATATAATGAATTAAACAAACTGATGAACAACATAGACCCAGAGACACAGACGTAGGGTACAGACTGACAAACCTCAGAAGAGGGAGTGGTGAGGGGGAAGAGATAAACCACAGAACTTATATGCATGTATGCATGACCAATGGACATAGACAACAAAACTGGGGATGGGGTCGGGGAGGGGTTGGGGAGGAGGGTGTCAATGGGGGAAAAAGGAGAAATGTTTGTAACATAAATAAATTAATAAAAATAATTTTTTTAAAAAATGGAAATTCTGGAGGTAGATGACTTGGTTTTAAGCCTGGCTTTATACAGTGGTTCAAATGAAATCAGAATCAATTTTCTTGATTTCATCATTTCTCAATTCTGCTTTCTTTGAGTGGACTCTAGTCTCACATAAGCTTTTCTCTAGTCAGAAGATTACTCTTCTAGATTCTCATCTGAGGTGGAGGTGGGGTGGAAAATAAGATTCCTATTATCTGAAACAAAAGCTCCAAAGGTTTTATTTTGTTTCAGTAGTTCTGATTGGGTCACATGCACATCCTTGTATATGGCCGAGAAAATATGATCCTGTTAGGTGGACCACATGTCCTTGTGGTCTCACATGTACCTGCTGCATGTGCCAGACTACAAGGCCTGGCTTCCTTCTCCTGAGTAGCTCTTTAGCTAGTCCATAGGCAACTGAATAGGTCAAGTCCCTACAGTTTGACGATAGCTTGCATGAGGGGAGCAAGAGAGGAAAGGCTGACTTGTTGATGACAAATTGTTCTCTGCTCGTTCAAATGTACTGGACCCTCAGGCGTAAGTCTGTGTGCTGTACATGTATAGGTGTCATCTGGCCCTTTTGAAACATTCTGGCTACTGGTTTTTCTAGGAATAATACGTGTGTGTGTGTGTGTGTGTGTGTGTGTGTGTGTATCTTTGTTGAGTAGTCATATGCTCTCTGTCAGCATCCATGATATGGTAGCAGGCTTACTTGCTTTCTTGTAAGTAGAATAAAATCTCAAAGCCTTCATGGTTCTCAACAGATATGTGATTGATTTGAACCTGGATAACCTGCTCCAAGGCATCTCCACCTGGAACATGTTGACTGAGAAGAGGAGGAGGTCTCCCAGAGAAAGACTGGGCACAGCTACCAGAAGATGACCAAATAGATGGTGGGCAGAGAAAAAATTGGAAATTGTGCTAACTTGCCCAACTTGCCCACTTGTGTCCTACCTCCAGGCTCCCATATCTATTTAAAATGCAGTATTTTAAAATCCATTTTAGCCCTGGCTGGTTTGGCTCAGTGGTTGGAGTGTTGAACTGTGGACCAGAGAGTCCCGGGTTCGGTTCCTGTTAGGGGCACGAACCAAAAAAAAAAATAAAAATAATAAAAAAATAAATAAAAATCCATTTTAACATTTGGGTAATTTTACTTTTAAGTATCTTCACTGGGTTCAAAACTCCATGAAGAATAACAGAATTCCTCAGGACTCAGGGACAAGAATCCCATAGCTACCACAAACCACCTGTCCAAGAAAAGGACACCTGTGAGTGATGACGGACAGAACTTTCTTTCTTTCATTTTATCTATCTATCTATCTATCTAATTACTGAGCCAATATTTTTTTTAATCCTCACCAGTCGATATGTTTGTTTTTTTAATTAATTAATTAATTTTTGTTACAGATGTTTCTTCTTTTTCCTCCATTGACACCCTCCTTCCAATCCTGCCCCCGCCCAGCATTATTGTCTATGTCTTTGTCTATGCATACATGCATATACATTCTGTGGTTTATCTCTTCCCTCCCCCCATGTCCACCTCTTGAAGCATGAGGTTTGTCAGTCTGCACCCCACTTCTATGTCTCTGGGTCTATTTTGTTCCTCAACTTATTATGTTCATTATATTCCAAAAATAAGTGAGATCATGTGATATTTGTCTTTCTCTGCTTGGCTTGTTTTGCTTAGCATAATATTCTCCAGGTCCCTTCATGTCATCTCAAAGGATAAGAGATCTTTCTTTCTTACAGCTGCATAGTATTCCATTGTGTACACGTACCACCGCTTTTTTATCCACTCATCTATTGATGAACACTTGGGCTGTTTCCAGATCTTAGCTATTGTAAATAGTGCTGCTATGAACATAGGGGAACATATATTCTTTATGATTGGTGTTTCAGGCTCCTTAGGGTATATTCCTAGAAGTGGGATCACTGGATCAAATGGCAGTTCAATTTTTAATTTTTTGAGGAAACACCATATTGTTTTCCATATTTCTTTCATTTTAAGGAAAGGCTTTTCAAAATATAATTTTAAACACTATCAACACTAACAGAAATTAAACTAGAATAAAAAAACCACCCAACTCAAAACTTATCATTCCCTTCTAAATGAATACTTCAGTTATGTTCCATTTCCCCCAAACTAACACAAGTAAGTAACATTTGCATAACTTCAGGGTTTTCTACTTTATTTTACTTGATTATCCTAGCAATTCAGCAAAGATGGTTTTGTGAGTTATTGCCTCTGTACATTGGAGGAAAGAAAAGCTGAGAAAGATTAAGGGTTCCATTCTCGAATACAGAGCCTGGTGCATAGGGTGGTTACTTGAGTCAGCGCGGTGTTAACAGCACTTGTAGATTCCATTTGCTTTGCCTCTGTTGGTGGTGACAGATTTTTACTTTTGGAACCTAATTGCCCAATAACTTCTGCCAGTGACACCGTATGGATGCCAACAAGCAGTCCTCTGTCTTTATGAGTGAAGGACCTTTACAGCTCCCTACGTGGAATAATTTGAAGACTCTCAGAAGGCTTTTATGCCCCTGAATATCTCATCCATCAGGACCTGTAATGCCTCTATCAGAAAGGCGTTTCCCTGGGTTTTGGTGACCTTTTGGTTCTTAAGAGGGCCTTATTAAAATCTACAGAACATTGAGAGGGATGATTGTATAAACAAGGTTTTGCTAAGCCCAGTAAAAGATTTTTTCAACCATAAACGTTAGCAGACTGTTGCGAACATCTGTTGTTTTCTTTGCTTGGCACCTCACAACCACTCTCACTGAATGGAGCTGTCTCTTCCTCTCAATAACATGGTTATTTGAGGAGCAACTTGTTAGAATAATGTGATTATTGGTAGTAATCATTCTAGTGTCAGAACTGTGTCAATGGAGACCTTCCCTGGGACTTTGGGATTGAGATGCAGAGAGAAAGAACTCTCTGCCTCTCTCTCCCTCTCTCTTTCATTAAAGGCTAATTTCACTGTCCACATAGAGGGCAAAAGCAGGTACTCTCTGCCCAGAGGATTGTGAAGACAAGAACTGAGTAGAGTCCTAAGAAACCTGAAGAGGCACATTAGAACGTTTTGGATTCCATGGAGGTGTTATATTAGGAATCTCTCACACATATTCACCACTTGTGCCCATTTAGTTCATCTTATTTAATAAACGCCAATTGAAAGCCTACTGTGCTGTGCCCTAGAGACACAGAGGTGACATCAGTCGCATCCTCAGGAAGCTCCCAGGCTGGTAAGTGAGTCAGACAAGCAAACAACTTATTTCAAAATGTATGACCAGTATTCCAAACATAATAAATGTGTTAGGTATTGTAACCAAGGAAGGTGGTTCTGGGAGAAGAGGGGAGCCAGGATGGGGTCAGGTGGACTTCAGGGAGGGGTTAACTTTTGAGTGGTTCTTGCTGGATAAGTGGGAATTTTCCCATGGAAAGATGTTGGGCACATAGACTGTGATTTTGGACATGTACCATGCTCCACGAGAGGAGAACAGGAGCATGTGAAAATGTAGGGAGGAGGAAAAATGTATGGTGTTTGTGAGGAAGGCTTGCAGTCTGTGAGGTTGAACCTCAGTGCTTAGTGGGACAGTAGGACAGGACACCTAAAAACAGGTAAAAGCCATCCTGGGAGGGGCCTCGTGCTCTGGGCTAGCAGATTCCATCCTGTTTGAGGATGACCACTTTGACAGCAGAAGAGTGAAGGGTTAAGCGCATAGGCTCTGGAGGCAGGCAGGCTGGGTTCAGGGTCCCAGCTCTGAGGCCCAGTGTCTGTATGCCCTTGAGCAAACTGATGATCCTCTCTAAGATGCAGTTTCCTCATTTGCAATTTGCTGCTTAATGGTATGTGCCAAAAAGTCTGCTTGGGAAAATTAAATGAGTCATGTCTTTAAAGCAGTTAGCACAGTCTGACAAACATAGTGATAACTGAATACTAAGTAGATACTACAAGTGATTTGAATAGCAGTAGGTTGATGGCTCCCATAGGGAGTGAAAATGTTTGGGTATACCTAGGATCTCCTAAAGAAGAAAAACTAGCACCAATTCTGGAGAGAAAGCTTAGAGAGCTTGTTCACTGGAGTAACTCATGGCTAATGATCTGGAAAATGTGTTTCCAGGTAGCTTGGCAGGGGAAAAACAATTAGAAATAATGGTGAAATAATTTTCAATGAATAGTCTATGTCAAGTACAGGATAGAAAACCAAAGACACTGAAAAGTTGCTAAGAGAGCAAATTGTAAAATTTCTTATCACAAAATTAAAAAGTATTGTGACTATGTATGGTGATGAATGTTAACTAGACATATTGTGATCATTTTGCAATATATACAAATACTGAATCATCATGTTGTACCCCTGAAACTAATACAATGTTATATATTAATTATACCTCAATTAAAAAATAATAAAATAAAATAAAAGCAAAGAGAATAAAAGAGGTTAAAACACATCTTATTTACATTAGCTTGGGCTTCATCACACCAGGAAAAACCAGGATTTTCTTTTTAATCTCGTAACTCAACAGAACATGTTGGACTTTGATGCAAATGTGTTCAGCTGATTAAAAAGTTTGCAAAATGTGGGAAACTTTTTCTCTTTGTCAGATTAGTGAGCAGCTTGAAAACATTTGTGCACTGGAAAGGAGTATAAGGAGTTTTTGTTGTGGGATACTTTTTAGAAGCTGAAATATTAAAATGTAATAATTTCTAAGGGAACATAGTGTCTGCAGGATGCCAAAACATTATAGCATGAGTTGATTGATTAAACGACAACAAAATATTTGGCCAATGAATCAAAGTTTTGTTCTACATGATGCCAAACATCTGGATATTTGGAAGCAGTGGTTTGACATCCTGTGGACCAAATAGAAGCATCATTGTACCTTGTATAATGGCTCTTGCTTGCCTTCTATCTGATCTGATCATTGTCCCTAAAATCCAGTCCCAGGAACACTGCTGACCAGTACTAGTTTGGGCTCAGATCAAGTGTAAAGGTGATGGAGACAGAATTTCTCACTGGGATTCAGATCTGAGGGATAAGCATGGGACAAGTTTATTAGGAAGATTGAATCTTCTAAGTGCAGTAGTTCAAGAGGCCATGATACACTGGAACAAGAGAGGAAGTGGAGTGGAAACCAGGCTAAAATGGTATCTCCTTGTTTTATCATTCGCTGTCAATAGCACATTGTAGTGGAAGAAGCCTAGGACCTAAAGTTAAAATAACTGGGCTCTGCCTCTGGCTCCACCACCTCCTGCACAGGTGGAGAAGCTGATTGATATGTTTTGTAAACAGTATAGTGGCATAAAATGTAAATTATCATGAATAGTTCTTCAGTCCCAATTTTTTTTTTGTTTGGCCTCTCCATTCTTTATTCAGTCCTAATAAGTTAGAGGGCAAGGATGGAGGCAGGGTCTCTTAGGTGAGGGTGCTGCTCACTGAAGGTAGCAGCTCGGACAGGTGTTCCAAGATGCCCACTGTTTGGCACAGGGGGTTGCCCTGCAGGTTGAGGAGCACCAGCTTAGGCAGGAGGCAACAGGCTGAAGTGCTGCATGCTGCTGGAGACGGTTGTGGCACAGGAAAAGCTCCTGCATCCAGGGCAGATTAGTGACACTGTCCAGGGACTCTATGGCATTATTGCTGGCCTGCAACACCTCAAAGCAACGTAGGGCAGCCAGGGCAGGGGACAGGGCTCAGAGATGTTTGTGCAACAGGTCAAAATGAGTGACCAAGAACAGCTGTTCCAGATGGCAGAGCATCGTCAGACCCTTGTGACTCAGGTGCAGCATGTGCACCTCTGCATACTCCATCTTGAGCATGCTGTTCTCCAGCAAGAACTTGCTGCACAGGTTGTCCAGGTAGGC